GGCAGCAAGCACTTGAGAGGGCTACTCTTGGCACAAAATGCATTATAACCATTCCAGCAGAATGTGATTTAGAGTAACAAATAGTGCGGGGACAGGGATGACATGGGGTGACGCTGTATGTACAGCACCCCAAAAAACTGCCTGCATCCATCACAGAATGCACATTATCACACAATGCGTGCAAGCAGCTCTTAGTGTTTTAAATATAACCCTTATATGACCCTCATGCACGTATATTCGAACCCAGTTCAAAAGGCTATTTCTCCACAGACTGCTTGAAAATTGATGGCGGTCTTGTGAGGCCGCTTAATGATTCTTCTTGCCTGTACATGTTTTTCACAGATATGCCGCAGACCACCTGAATGAAACTCATGGACCACAGTTTTGGAAGCCCCGCTTTATGCACTCACAGCAATGTTAGGATACGGTGGGATGTGTTTGGTGCCCTTGCAGGGCATTGGATCCTGTGGAGGCATACACTAACCAAAGAGGAAGGATGGTGATTTCTATCAATTCTCTGCATTCATTGCAACTCATGGGTGGTCCCCCAAAATCAGATCCAGAGAGCTTGGGGAACCCTCAAGAACAAGAGTAGCAAGTAGCAAGTGGGCATGCAGGGTTAATAGGTAATTAGCAAAACAGGATTGCCCTCCTCTCAGCTTCCACTATTGAACACCTTGGATGGATCAAAAGTCTTTCCAAGAGCACAAGGGCACCAACTGGAAGATTCAGCAACTAATGGCATGAGCACATGACCCTGGTGTGTGGGGGGCTTTAGTCTTAAACTCAGAGATATATGGAGGGATCACCTGGTTGTACTAGCAGAGTAGAAAATATAATTGGCTTGCCCCCTTTCTAAGTTTTACAGCTGAGAAAAATATCTGAAACATTGATTAATGAGGTTGGAATCCTAGTCAGAAAAATGCAAAACAGTAAACACAGCAAATGAAAATGAGTCACACTTCACTAGTCTACAGTTTTTGTTATCTTGGTGCGCTGATTAATACATGTATGCATTTAAGATTTGTGGTTTTTAAAAACTATTTGCCAGTTTTTTTGTTTTTAAAAAACCCACACAAACAAAAATCAAGAAACTTGGTAAGAAAAGGCCGTTGTTATATCAATGGGTTTGTTCCATGCCACAAATTTAATGCACCAGGTCACTTGGAATATAATGTGTAGTGAAAGAATCTCATTAGGCTAAAATGAATGTAAAATGTGTCAATTTGATCCAAATGAGAACTGTAGTAAAACCATGTTTGATGTTCATGTGCAATAAATCTTTAACATTTGTCTGTAAAGTATTAGAGAATCCATGGGGAAATCTGTATTTGTGATAGCTTGCACATTTTCAATGATTTTTCTCTAATCTTTTGTTGACATTTAAAGCGCATGGAAAAAGAATGTAACATCTTAAAAATACGAATTATGAACTACTTCTCCAAGGTAAACAAAATGGGTAGTGATCCCATATCTATTGCATTTGGGGAGTACAAAAGGCAGAAATCGTTAAATACTTAATCCAAGATGCAAAGAGAAATCTCTTATTTTTTCAGGTCAAGACTAGTTAATCAACCAAATCAAAGGTACCATCTACATCAGTTAAATCTGAAAAATGCTTGCTAGTCAGATCCTGGCAAAAGCATTGCTACCCCAATGTATTCTCTCCCTTTTTAATAACTGTTGTATTTCAATTTTCTCCCCAGTATTCTTCTGCATTCATAAGAGCTTTATAGTTTAGTAGACCAAACTGACTAAAGTCATTCCTTCTGGGAATAATTTACAAAATACCGCAATTTTTAAACTATTCCTGATATTTCTCAGTATCTGAAAGGGCCCACTTCAACCCAAATCTGTGGAACACCACACCAAGCAGCATTGGAATAAATATGATGCCATAATTCCTTTGAGAAAGTTTGAAGAATGTCAGGTGAAATGTCAGAAACAATTAGCAATATGGTGTGATCTAATTTACTCAGTGTTGAGAAGTACGGCTTTTTGTCAAAGTTCTACTGAATTGTTATAGTATATTTGATTCCTAATTATCAGAACTTCCTTTCCTTAAACTCAACCTCCTCCAAAAACCCCTCTTAGAACTTTTCCAAAGTCATGACTATAATCAGCACAGTGTTGGGAAGAAAAATGAAAATATCATTTAATAAGAAAAGCCGTCAAATTGAGTGTAGTCACTAAAAGTTTCCACTCTATAGCTTCACTTAATGTATACAGAAATAAATTCATTATTTTCTTTCTTCTTTGACTACTAGCCACGTTTGTGGCATTGGTCCTAATGATTGTTGTATGGGTTTCGTTATCAACAAATGTGGTGTTTTAAACGTAATTTACTTGGCTTGCAGTCTCTTCAACAAAACCACGGCATACTTGACAGTTTGCCCTTTACCTCCCCTTCTGAAGAAAAACAAAACACTGTGAATGAAATTGTATCTGGTGTTGTAAAATCTTGAGCAGATTCTGAAATATTACCTAGACTCTATTCCAACTGAAGGTGATTTCACCACACGAGGAAATGAAAGTGTGTGGCCAAACAACTTTTCTGATAGCAATGCATAAATTTTTCCTTTTGTTTTGTCCCTTCAGATTTCTAGCCACATTCAAGATTGTCAGCTATTCAGTGTTGTACATTGAAAACCTTTTTATTCATGTAAACATTTTATTCAAATAAATTGAACATAGCTGTGTTCATGTTCCCTAATAGGTGAGCTTTCAAACCTACAGGTTTTGTAGTTCACATGAACATGTAACTTCACTAACTTTATTCTTTAAAATGAAATGCAAACCTGAAGACATTCAAATCCAAAAGCACTGCAGAAGCATATAAGAATTATTCTGTCATCTTAATTAATAGAAATGCATTTTTAAAGAGGCTAATCATGTTCGAGAAGGACTGGAGTATCAAAGACCTCCAAGCATATACGTATTCTAATAGTTAAGCTTTTCTGAGTACCTTAACATGCTGAAGACTGTGGCAGTAATTTTATTTATGTACCCCATGAAGCTGAAACATCTAGAAGCATGTGGAACAGATACCATCTTATGATACAGCAAACACTCCACTTCTACCCAAGAAATATGATTATTGGTTCTCTGTGTGTATACACAGACCCATATCTCCTGACCACTATTCTCTGCTATCTATTCTGCAATACGACATGCAGGTTTTTTATTTAAAAACTTTAATACAAGGCAATGTCATGAACTGACAGGACAACAGGGAGAAGAAAGAGGGGTGTAGCCAGGACTGGGACACACCTGGGCAAGCAGGGGATGGGGAAGGAAGTACTCACAGGCTGACAGAGGATGGTGAAGGGATGAAGGTCAGTAGACAGGAACTGGAGTAGCAGGACCTATCAGCAAAGGCAGAGGAGCCTTAAAGTGTAGAGAGCAGCGGCAGAGGTGCTCTAGGAGGCTGAGGCAGGCAAGGGCCCACAAACCAGCTCCCTAGCTGGCCAGGTGAGGCTTGCTAGCTCTGAGAGGAGGTGTGTGATTCCTCAACTGGAGTGGACTCAGAACAGGTGAGGGTCATATGCATCGTCAAGCCCAGATGCTGCAATCAGCATTCAAAGTACAAAAGGGAAGCAGAGCTGAGCTGCTGTGTCTGCTCAAACTGCCCATGTTGATGGACCTTGACTTGGATGTTCCTGGACCTCTATGGGACTGTGCTTCGGGTTTGACTCTGGACCTGGCTGCTGGACTTCAGACTTGGCTAGTTTAATTGACCCTGAGCTGTGTTTCCTGATCTTTGGACTTTGCTTGTGTGGACTGATCCTTGGACTTTGAACTTTGGCCTTGGCATTGCTGCCAGGTAGGCCAGGGGTTCAAGAAAGGTAAATACTACATTATTTACCTCATTCTGTAAGGCAGTAGCAATTTTCCTCTTTCAGAAGTTGTCCTCAGTTCATTACCCTGAAAGGAACATCCCTGACCCTTCTGCCTGCTTCATCAAGAGTTTATCCTTGATAAGAGTCGTTCTACATCAGGCTTCCTCAACCTTGGCCCTCCAGATGTTTTTGGCCTACAACCCCCATAATCCCTAGCTAGCAGGACCAGTGGTCAGGGAGGATGGGAATTGTAGTCTCAAAACATCTGGAGGGCCGAGGTTGAGGAAGCCTGTTCTACACATTGCACAGAAGGAGATGGCAGACTAACACGACACTGCACTGGACTGTAGTACTTAAAGCTACAGGTTGATTTTCTAATACCTGAATGTCCATGGCATTTATTTTTAATTGGAGCTTTCCAAAAAAATAATCAGGGCTGTTTTTATTATATGACTGTGAAGATGGAAGGGGAGATTAGTGTCAATGAATGTGATAGGGGGGGGATAAATACATTTGGGGACAGAAAAGGATACGATGAAGTTGCATACAATTTGTTTACACTGATGTGGAAGTGGCAGAAATTTTCCTGGGCTCTTAAAGCAGTTGAAAACTGCTATAGAGCTAGGCTGCTATGTAAACCCATAAGGCCAGATTTGGAACAGGACTATATGCCTTGGCGGGGTAAAAATGTCATTTCCCCAGTTTCTGAGTCTGCACCAAATATTATATGTGGCATGCTGAAACGAAAGCCAAAACTGGTTTATGTAAATGAATGTTCAGAGAATAGGGACTAAAAGGCTCTCGATATTCCTTTTTGTTTTTTGCTTCCTTTCTCATCTTTTTTATTTTATCCTTTTCAAGCTAGCATACTTCAGGAGCCTCTCCAAATGACCCTGACAGATCCAAAGACTGGACTGGAAATAATTTAGTACTATAATTTTATGGTTGTTTTAAAGTTCCTGAATATTATTACTTTATAAAATGGGATTTTCCTCTCTTCCTTTCCGATGGGGGGGCGGTCTCTTCATTGTAGATGAAGTGCATTTATGGGCAAACTTCCCATTCTTTTTCATACACTTAAATATTGCACCAGTTACATAATGTGTGAGGGCACATACTATAATTTCAAAGGGACTTACTTTGGTTTTCTTTTTCTTTATTGGGGAGGGGAACACAGCAATCTGAGGCCCACCAAGTTGTTTGTTACTTTCTCATACACAATTCCTATTTGTTCCATTAGTTTTCTTTCTTCAGAATAGGCCTTTGCACCAAAGGGCATATGTCTCTAGGTAGGATGCAAAACAAAGCACTAAAAAGCAAGAGGTGAAGCATACCGCAATTGTGTAAAAGCTCCAATTAAAAAGGCAATGTTCACAATATGCAACACACCATTCAGCAGATTTTAGAGCCATAAAAAGAAACATGCAAGCTCACCCAACCATCTAGAGATGCACTTTGATGGAAGTTTAAGGTCTTCACATGATATAACAAGTATATTTCTATGATATAGCAGGCAAGCTATATTTTTATTAAATCAGTGAAATCTGGACTGCTTACTTTCCAGAACTGGCTCAATTAAAGTCGCAAGAACCTTTAAAGGGATTTTTTTTTAAAGTAAATTTAAAAAGGGCAATCTATTAGCTTGCCTTCAGTCCTGGGCCATGGTAGTGGAATAGGGCCTAGTTCATTTATTTGTATTATGAGCACCAGGATAAACTTCCAACAGGTGAAAGTTTGGATAGGAACTTGACAACAAAAGAGGGGGCAACCACCCCTTTCTTTCTCCCTGTATGTGACAATTCAAATTCTGGGTATTCAAATTATGAGAGGACATATTCACCGATCCTCCACACCACATTGTCACTGCAGTTGGCTGCTATTTTAATGCCATCTGAACAACACATCAATATGTAGCAACGGCAAGGAGGTGGAGCAGGGTAGGGACCAGTGAGTTTTCTGTGTCACTGCCAATAGTAGTTGAGGGTGGCATGGAAACTTTCCAAAATGATATGGCCAAAGCATACGCCATCTCAGGTTAAATTGGTGGGGAAATGGCACAATGGTCTTGGTAACGCCATCAAAGCTTCCTGTCAGCCCTAAATGAATTGGGAAAAACCCAGTCCTTTTTAGGCATGTTTTAATTTGGCTGTTGCTTGCCCATTGGCACTATGGTGTTATTATATGTTACAATGCAAGTCACTTTGGAGGCGATATACAAGGCTGAACACAATATGAATGAGATTTGTGTGTTGACCATTGGAATGTCTACTGCACAGTGGTTGTTTGAAGGCAGCTTCCAGTTCCTTATGGCGGTCATAATGTGTAGCTAAGATGTGTTCTGAAATCAATTTATCCTTATGTCTTTTCCGTCACATTTTTCATTGAAACCACCATCTTTTATCCTCTATCTAGTTTTTCTTTTTCCTAATGGGGAATTGGTCATATTTAGGGGCTATATCCATGCCTTGCAAAAGTGTCCCATCCATGCCAACTGCTCCTTCATCTGATTCAGTTCTTTGACTCCTTTTCTTTGTGATACCCCAAGCCAGGAAATTCAATTCTTGTCCTAGGCAATATCATTTCCCACTCTTCCCCTTTAAGTCTTTGCTAAAATCGACTCACCAGCCACTGCTAAACCTCAGGTCCCTTGTTACCTTTCTAAATACTTTATTACATTTTGCAATATAAAAGTAAAGTGAAAGCTCCTGGACCCAACACGAAGCAAGCCTAACTTAAACCATCTTTCAGCAATTACTTCCTTTCTCTTCCATTTAAGCTGTATATTAATCTCACTTGCATACTTTCCTTTGGTAGAGATTGTGAAACACATCTTATTACAAAACTGAAAAGAGTTTATATCTTTGGAAGTATAAATATAACACCAATACCATTTGCCAGCAGTATTCCTTTAAGCCAAACAAACACTGGTCCCAATAAGTGTGCAATCTAGAAATATTGGGACCACCCCATATAATTCTATATATGACATACTAAAAGAGAATGAAATACATACTTTGGGGTAATCAATGAGACATACATATTTTCCCCCTATGTAAAACATATTAAAGCACATTAAATTGAATTTACTTATATTTTATATAGATGCATCGTATTCATTATTTCAAATGTAATATTAATCAGTTCATCATAAAAGTGTGTTAATATTCCCAATAACAGCACTGGTTACTTTAAATATTAAAAATTCACATTAGGAATTCCCCTGCCTATATGTGCAGTGCACTATTTGCATTATAGATTGTGGACATGACTGGATGTATGTTTTCCTGTTCTTTATTTTTAAATGATCTTACTTCTTGTTTGCAAATGCATAGCAAATGCCAAAGAGATTAGTGATAAACTAGGTCCTAACACTCCAAAATTAAAAGCTCCTAATTATCAACTTTAAATAAATCCTTATTGTATGGCAGAAATAATTTCTCATAAAGTGTTTCTAACATTCAGAGAATGCTTTTAGGACATACAACATTAACATAATTTTTTCGACTGGGGTTCTCTCAGGACATCTGATGAAGTCTCTACCCTTAATTTTAATTGCATAGGCTGCATTCTTAATTAAAAACTGTACAAATGGATTTTATGCCATGCCAAAAGAAATCTGAGTTCATTAGTTATAAAACCTTTTAAAAATTGATGTAAATATGTGAATTCTTTAAAAGTTTGAACTCTGAGTCTTCATTTTATGTCGAGTACCTTTTATCTAGAGAATAATGAAGCCAATATGAATTAGGATAGTCTGTTTTTCTTCTCCAGCGTTTTTCCCTCCAGGAGAGATAGCAGGATGGTTGAAACGATAGAAGGTATCTCTTTATGTCATTATGTTCTTCCTTGTAGAACCTGCTTAATTTACAATTTAAGGGGGGGAATTAAAGAAAAGCTTTTGTTGACCCCTTCTGTTTGGGTTATATAAATAAAAGTTCACATATATATTTCCTTAATTCTAGATATTAAAACATAGTTGCGTCATTTCAAGGCAATAAAATTAATGGAACTCTGTCAAACTATACCTTTACGTGAAAACTCTGGTCACAATTCACACAGAGAAAGGATCTTTTGCCTTGCTAATTTTTTTAAAAAAGTTGTAGGAAGTGACTAATAAAAGGTAGGAAACAATAACAAAAGGGGAAATGCAATTGGGTAGTTTAATCTATTTATTGCAGGGCTTTCTTTCTCCACTGGGTGCTTTCCCCCCTTTTTTCTAGATATGGCTAATAGTCCTGGGAAAGCTAGTGAAATGTATTAGCATGATCACCTGTACTTAAGGCTTCACTATAGACTTACCTAGGAGTAAGTTGCATTACAGTAGGATGTACTTCTGAGTAGACAAATATGGAGGGGGTGTATGGGGTGAGCTGGGGGTGCCCAGGCACACCCTAATTCCCCCGCCCCCCAAAAAAACCTGGGAATTATGAAGAGGGCAAGAGAGTACAGAGTGGCAGCACAGATCCCTCAGCTGTCATGATCTTCAGGGAAACAAGTGGCTAGGAGAGACAAAAGTGGAAGGGAGGGAAGCAGAGAGTGACATGGGCAGAATAAAAAGTCTGGAATGGATCAGCAGCTTCTGCCTACATCTGTCTCTGGAAGTGGCAAGGGGGTGCCGCTACAGCTTCCAGATACCAGGAGTGACAGCTTAGCCCTGCGACCACTGCTGCCCGGAGCCATGGATGCATGGCAAGCAGCAAACTTTGTGGGTGCCCAGCCACTTCATGGGGAATTTTGTGGGTGCTCAGGCACCCGGGGCCACAGGGTGTTGGCATGTATGCCAGATACAGACATGGGCAAAAGCTACAGATCCATTCCAACCTTTTTATTCTGTCTGCATCTGTCTCTGTCTCATTGCTCTTTTTTTCTTTTCTCTTTTGGTAACTGGATGTTTTTGAGCTATTTCTGAAGAAATTTGGCCAAAATGACACTGCCGCCATGGGCTGCCATGCGTCTGGATTTTCCCAGCGTTCAGCCAATTTCTGCCCAGACAATTATTGCAGCTGCAGTATTCTGTATATGTCCAGGAAAATCCGGACATATGGCAACCCTAATGTTCATCCAAACTGCTAAGCTGGTGGAACAGCAGTGTTGGAAACAACCTTTGGTCTGGAATGACACTGTACTGAAACAGTTTTTAGCAGCATCCATGTGGGCACTGTAACATGCTAAAACAGGCATCCCCAAATTCAGCCCTCCAGATGTTTTGGGACTACAACTCCCATGATCCCAAGCTAACAAGACCAGAGGTCAGGGATGATGGGAATTGTAGTCCTAAAACACCTAGGGGGCCAAGTTTGGGGATGCCTGTGCTAAAATTTATAAGTTGTGGGAATATGGCGTATTCTTTTACAGTGATACCTTGGTTTACAACCATAATCTGTTCTGGAGGTCCGGTTGTAAACCAAAACAGGTTGTAACCCAAGGCGTGTTTTCGCCAATGGGGCCTCCCCAAAAAATAATAATTGGTTGTAATCCAAAAAAATGTGTTGTAATCCAAAAAAGGGACACACACTTCAGGGTTTGACGTGGTTGTAATCCAAAACGGTTGTAATCCAAAACGGTTGCAAACCAAGGTACCACTGTACAGCCTTATCAAATATGGCATATATTTAAGACTGTTTATTCTAATGAAAATGAGAGCCCAGGAAAACGATAGGAGTTACTACTGACCAACTAAAAATAGGTAGAATCTGTCTGTATGTTTATTGCGTAGGCCTTCTGAAGAACATTGATCTTTTTCAAATACCAAAAGAGAGTATGATAAAGTAACTAGGAAAATTAGTCCTAGTTGTAGTAAGATTTGATCTGACACTTGTATGCTCCACTGAACTTTTAGTTTCCCACATTGCTTTGTGTTTTTGTATATTTCTGTGTTACTGAGTTATGGCAGGCCCAACAGCAAAGGTGTTGAAATGCCACATGAAAGGCAGTTCTTATAGTTTTTCCAACCTGACCCAGAAGCAGGAAGTAACCATAATCACAGAGGAAAGTGTGTTTTACTTGCTTTTTTCCAGTTTAGTCTGGCAAACCCAAGAAGCCCAGATATTACATACAACCTTTGGATAAGCTCCAGAAATGTTAGTTACACTTCAGCCCAACCAAACCTCTGTACCTTTAGAAGTTTAGCCTTTCCAACAAATTTAAGATTATGGAAACATTACCACAATATCTCCTCCTTCCCCACCCCACCACCTGCAAATGTGGAGCATTCTGCAATTCATCAGAGAATGGTGTAACCTTTATTTGGGCAGAACTATACAGGTCTGGACACTGCCAGCCATATACAAGTATATATATCCAGTGCACATACCACTGAACCCATCCAACTCGGGGGGAAGAATGATTAAATAATACATCTGTGTGGGACTTCACACCAAATTTTTGCAGTTTTTCGTCATGATTTGTCTGTATTTCTGTTCCAGGATACTAGATATGAATAAAAATTACCCTAAGGTAAGTCACAGTTGGTAAACCTGAAATTTAAGCCTATCTGGATTTATTTATTTTTTACTCTGCCCAGTAAAGGATTTATTTATTTTTTACTCTGCCCATTATTGCAATATGGTTGTGGCTTTTTGATCTCATCTCTTGCATCTTTCTCTACATTTTGGAGGCTGGATGGTTTTTGTCGGGGGCAAATCCTTGATTCATGTTATCCTTGGATTTTCCAAAATTTCCTCAGAGTTCTTTCACTTCCCACAATCTGCCCATCATATCTTCAGTGCTCTTTGATTGACAATGGTGTTTGGGAATTCTTATTTTTTTCATATGATAGGACTGGACAGCTGGTGACAATGCTCAACAGTCATCTATAGTGACCCACCAGACCCTTGATAAACCTCTTGTCTTTGTTGCCTGTGAAAACTGGGAAGGAAGGAGTGGTTGCCAAGTCAAAATATATGATTGGTGAGCTGTGTATCGTTTGGCGGATCATAAGCTGTGAAGTCCTGCCATGACAGCTAGGAAACTTTGATTTCAATCGTTCAGGCTGAATATTGTAATGCAAGCAAAATAGTATCTATAAACTATGCAGGAAAAGAGAATAAATATGTGTAGCGCTCGCCCCCCCATTTGATTACATAATTCTAAAGAGGCTTTAGAGATGACAAACTACTTTTAAAACACTGAGTGTTTGGTACCAGAGTTTTATATAGTTTGACTTTGTACATGAGGTAACAAAGAAAGGCAAGGGGGTCTGTGTGCAAAGAAGGCTGATGCCTTGATGAATACACTTGAGCTATGCTTCTGTTTAGGAGTTATTCCTTGTGAAGGAAGTCACATTATGTTTACTAAGCAGATATTTAACCACCTGATACTATATATAAGAATACCCGTCTTTACACTAACTCTGTGGTCTTCCCAGAACCGTATGAGAGATTTATTCTTTTGAAAGCTTTTGAAACATAGCTGTCAACGTTTCCCCTTTTTTAAAGGGAAATTCTCTTATTCCGAATAGGATTCCTCGCAAGAAAAGGGAAACGTTGACAGCTATGTTTTGAAAGTTGATACAAAAAGCAATTTTATAAGACTAAACTTTATTTTTATTTCATTTCTGCTACTTGGTGTTAACCAATATCTATCTTCATTCAGTTCCTTCCAAATCAAGTTTTGCAATTAAAGGAAATTTTTAAAGGGTACATTACTCAGGAGAAAAAGACAGGGGTACACAGTTGTAGATGGTGGATCATGAATTGGCCTGAAGGGTAGCCCCTAAATTTGGATTGGGTTTGTGGGTTTCCAACTCTCTGTACTTTTGCTATGATACCAAATACATGTTACCTGAAAAGGATTGTGTCAATTTGCCTAAATAGGAACAGTGTGAGGTAAGAAACAGTCACTGTTCTTTAAAAGATATCTAAGAAAATGCTGGGTCATTCTGCATTATTTTCCAATTAACGTTCACTGCAGTGACTCTCCCCACCCAAGCAAAAATCCTAGCTCCTTCATCCCCTCAGTTTATCGGTCTGTGAAAATGGCATGAGGCATGTAAGATGCCAGTGTTGAAAGGCCTGGCTAGTTAACGTTTACAGAGAGCTTTGAGAGATGTGGCTGAAAGAAAGCATAAGTAAGGTAGCAGCTGTACTATACCATGCTGTGGACGGCAGGGAACCTTGTTAATGATTCAATAGGTGGCCCTTGTCCCTTTGATTCAGTACTGAATCACTGTGCCAAAAGGAGCTAGGGGGTATTCTCTTGCTGGAGGTGCTGTCTTTTAAGTAAAAAAGCAAAACTGAGGTCCTGACCACTGCTGGTCATGGGATTTTGTGAGCATAAGACTAAGAATATTGGGAGGGATGTTCAAAGGACCAAAAGAAACATTTCAGGGTTAAGTGAAGTGATTTCTGCATGCATTTGCCTCCCATATCTCTGAAGGAAGAGTTGTAAGGCTTAATTAGTTAAATACTTTGAGACCTTTGGATGAAAGATTTGACAGCAATTCCAAGCATCATTAAGTGCCGCATTCTGAAGTTCTGGTTTGTTTTGTGTGTGTTTTCCCCCCTTTTTCTTTTACATTGACCTTAGGCACAAATCATGTTGACAGAAGACTTTGTTTTTTGGCCTTTATAAACAGAACACATTAAGAAAATCCCAAAGGGAATGAACTGTTTGTCCATCTGAAGCATTGCACACACACCCAAGTAGTGTTGTTTTCCTCTTCTTAATATGGGTTTGGTGCCTAAGGATGGGAGAATCTGTCCATTTCTGTTTCTCTTGGTTTCTCATTTCCCCTACCTTAAGTTTTGTTTTCAATGTTTCCGTATTAGTTTGCAAAAAAAAAAAAAATTTTAATGAAAATTCATCAACATATTTCTTCTAACATACATGTTTTTGTATGCTATTTTGGCTAACATACATGTTTCTCAAAGGCATTTTGCCTACTATAATGCATTTTCAATGCCAGCCCCCCGCCAAAAAATATTATGCACTTTTATGTATACTTTACCCTAGCACGTACATTTTTGTACACGTCATTTGGCTGGAGAACTGCATTGCAAAATTCAGAGAAGTGCAAATTTTGAAGGATGGCTGCATTTCAGTTCACATTTTGTTCTGGAATGTGAGACTTAGGAAGGCTCACCATTAAATGCAAACAGAATCAAATTTCTTACCCCATCCCTATTTTTGCACCAGCTAGCCCCCCTCCTCATTCTAATACTTACCTAGATACCTCTCCACAAGCATACATCCTGCATGGATTTATAACTCTCCTTCACAAATCTTAGCCTACATGGGAAAGGGATTTGTTTATATTTTTATGAGAAGATTAGGCAAGGAAAATGGATTTACCCAATATTAAACATGTCTCAAGTGAGTGTGCTTTTATGAATGCCACAACCTGCATAGGTAGTGATAGTCATTGGGGTTTTGAACGTGTCTTTTTGCCTGAAGGGCTACACAGTTCCAGATGTTATACAGATTCCCCTTGTATGTCAAGGTGGCTTGTCCTCAGTCCCTTAGGCCTTCCCTGCTCTTG